CCCGCCCGCCCCCCGCCCGCCCAGCCTGCCCACTACTGCCACCGCCACCCCCCGTGCACACACCCACCCACGCACACGCACACGCACACGCACAAGGAACGGTGTAGAATGCTGAGTGCAATGGAGTGGGGGTGAAGTGCCGAGGAGTGCGACGGAATGCGGAGGAATGGAGTGCAGCGCTGAGGAGCGCGATGGAGTAGGGAGGAAAAGGCAATTCGGCGGAGGGGCGGGAGAAGTAGGAATACTCACTCGCAAGCCCTGCGCATCGCAGCGACCAGGCTCAAAGTATATCCAGTGGTCCCTGAGACCCCTGCCCCGCCAGCCCTGTATGCCGCGGTCGCCAGGGCCGAAATGTCCCGAGTGACGCTGCTCCACATTCCTTTCTCAAAATCTGACAACCTTCGCCTGTCGGGTGTGAACATCGTCGATCGTCGTCGTCGTCGTCGCCACCACCACCGTCGTCTTCGTCGTTGTCGCCGTCGCCGTCGTCGTCGTCGCTGGCCGTCGTTCGTCTGTGATCGCCGTCGTGATCGTCACCGTCGCCGCCGCCGCCGCCGTCGTCGTCGTCGGTCGTCGTCAGTCCGTCGTCCCTATCGCCCGGAGCCCCCCACCAACTTCCAAGCATCGCTGGGCATGTCCAAGCGAGCACGCGGCTGGAACGCGCGCCCGTCTGCTGTCGTCCGTCTGCTGCCTGGTGGGGTCTGTACACAAACGCGCGCGCCTGGACGCGCAGGCAATCATGACGATTGGCAACGATGGTAACGGTGGAAGTGACGATCGATTGGTAATGTGGTTCGATTGTTGTCTCCATGTACGATGTATGCATGCATACATACATACATACATACAGACATATATATACTAGAACCACGCGCGCGCTTCGCGCGCGCTATAGGTTCTAGCACCCCCCAGACTTTGACAAGTTCACAGATGCACGAATGCACGTAAACACAAATTGCTCGCACATGAAGTGAAGAGGTAGCAATCGCGCGGACCGAACAGAGACGGAATTCTGACAAGTATACACAGAGACGCATGCAATGCGAATCCATATGACATGATCGTGGAAATGCCATGCAGTGGCTATGCAACGTATTGCAACTCAACGCAAACTACTGCAAGGATAAATGAAGCACAAATGACATGCAGCGCAACGCTCTGCACATCAAAAATTTGGAGCGGCCATTGGGATGTCGGCTCGTGCGATCGTTGATCCATCTTGTGCCACTCTGGGGCTTCTCTAAACGCTCGTTGTTCGGGTGTTGCGCGGCGTCGGCCGGAACTTCTCTTGGGGCCCTATCGTGGCTGAGTCGGGGCTGTCCTGGGGTGTGTGGGGTTTCAATTGGAGCCCCAGAAAGCTTGTTCCGGGGAAGGTGTGGAGACCTCCAGGGGGCGATGGATCGTTTTGTGCACACCGTGCGACATTTACGCAACTGGCTCTGCATGCCTGAAGACGGCACGGTGGCCAACGTAGACCTCTTACAAAATCAATTTCCTTCCGCGGGCTTCAGACGAGGTTCCGCTGGCTTCCGCCAACCAGATCCCCCTCGATTTACATCCGCCAGCTTCCGCGGGCCTTCGGCCAGCCTCCCCGGTGACCAAGAAGACGACTGGATGGTTCAAACATGCGACCACCCAGGCAGTCCATACCCCTTGGGGGAACCACTAGGTGAAACAAGGTGAAACAGCATGAAAAGAACATGAGTGGCATAGGGGGGTCCCCTTGCACGAGCGTAGCGAAGCTACGCTGAGCGAAGTCCGATTAGACATTGCGCGGACTAACTCAAGCCAGCTCAGACAAGGTCTCTTGGATGCCTGTTGGAGCTTCTTGGGAAGCCTCTGGAGAGCCGACTGGAGTCAGTTTTGAAACATATTGGGGGTCGTTTGGGGGCCTCTTTTGGGACTCGTGGAGCCTGAAGGCGATCTCGAGGGTCTCCTTGGGGCGGATGACTCGAAATCTCAATTCGAGTTCTCTCTCTCTCTCTCTCTCTCTCTCTCTCTCTCTCTCTCCTGAAACCTCTACTGTTGAGGCTCCCGTGGGGCCCTATTGGGCACCTCTTGAGCCGTCTTGAAGCCCTCTGGGGTAATCTTCACGGCCCGAACCCAATCTTCAGACCAACTGGGGCGGTCTCGGGCCGCTCTCGGGAAACTTCCAAGCGCTCTTGGAGCTGTCCTGGGTGTTTCTGAAGTGGCTCTGTAAGGCGTTCTGACGCCTTCCAGCAGCGTCGGAGGCCCATCGGCAGTGAAAAGGCGACGTGCTACGAACGTACTGCTTGTGGACAGATTTTGAGCAATTTGGAAACTCGGAGCCCTCTTGGGGGCGTCTTCATCCTGTACCTGGAGGCCTCTGGGAGAGTCTGTGGGCCGTTGTGGAAGCGTCTTGGGGTGTCTGGGGTCCGTCTTGGGGATATTGGACCATCTGGGCAGCCTCGAAGGCTGTCGGGAGTCCATCCGGGGCCGTCTTGGGGTGGTCTTGAGAAGCAAATGAGCATTCTTGCAGCCGTCTTGGGAGCCTCTTGGACCAGCTTGGGACGGTCTTGGGGGCCTCTTGGGCCGTCTTGGAGCGTCGGGACGACGAATAATTGAGGAAGCCAAAAACCTTTTCAAGCCTGAAGGCAAGCAATGATTTTGGCTGTTTGGGTCACTCTTGGGAATGCTCTTGGGGCTGTCTTGGGACGTCTTGGACGCCTCTTGGGCCATCCGGGAATCATCTTGGGCGTCTTGGAGCGGTCGTAGGCGCGTCGAGGCAAACTTTGACCGTCTTCGACGCCTCTGGGGCCGTGTTTGCAAGCTCTTGGGCGGTCTTAAGCGCCTATTGTGTTGTCTTCAGGCCATCTTGGTCCGTCTTGGGGCGTTCTTGGGGGCCTCTTGGGCGATCTTGGGACGGTCTTGGGGACTTCGTGGTCTGTCTTGGAGGCCTCTTGCAGCCCTCGTGGGAATGCTCTTGGGGCTCTCTTGGGACGTCTTGGAGGCCTCTTGGGCCATCTGGGAGCCATCTTGGGCGTCTTGGAGCGGTCTTAGGCGCGTCGTGGCACGCCTTGACTGTCTTCGACGCCTCTTGGACCGTGCTTGCAAGCTCTTGGGCGGTCTTAGGCGCCTACTGGGTTGTTTTTAGGCCCTCTTGGGCCGTCTTGGGGCGCTCTTGGGGGCCTCTTGGGCGATCTTGGGACGGTCTTGAGGACTTCGTGGGCTGTCTTGGAGGGTCGGGACGACGACAAAAACAAGAAAACCAAAAAGCTGCAAAAAAACAACGGAATTCCTTGATTTCGGCCTCTTGCAGCCCTCTTGGGAATGCTCTTGGGGCTCTCTTGGGACGTCTTGGAGGCCTCTTGGGCCATCTGGGAGCCATCTTGGGCGTCTTGGAGCGGTCTTAGGCGCGTCGTGGCACGCTTTGACTGTCTTCGACGCCTCTTGGGCCGTGTTTGCAAGCTCTTGGGCGGTCTTAGGCGCCTACTGGGTTGTTTTTAGGCCCTCTTGGGCCGTCTTGGGGCGCTCTTGGGGGCCTCTTGGGCGATCTTGGGACGGTCTTGGGGACTTCGTGGGCTGTCGTGGAGGGTCGGGACGACGAAAAAACAAGAAAACCAAAAACCTGCAAAAAACCACGGAATCCCATGATTTCGGCCTCTTGCAGCCCTCTTGGGAATGCTCTTGGGGCTCTCTTGGGACATCTTGGAGGCCTCTTGGGCCGTCTGGGAGCCATCTTGGGCGTCTTGGATCGATCGTAAGCGTCTCGAGGCACGCTTGGACCGTCTTCGGCGCCTCTTGGGCCGGACAAGGGCGCTCCCGGAGGCCCGATCCCGCCATGGGGGGTTGCGGTCCCGGCCAGGGAGCCCCCGGCCCTGTAGCCCGGTATGTATATATATATATATACACACACATACCTATATATATATATATATATATACATATGCATATATGTATATATATATATATATATACACACCCAAAGGGGGCACGATCGAAGACGAAGAAGGTGGGTGTCGAGGGTTCGGGGTGTAAATTTTGAATGACACGCGGGCAGCGAAGGGCACACAGTCTTATAATGAGGATTGTTATCGTTGTTGCTGCTGTTGCTGTCGTTGCCGCTGTTGTTGTTGTTGTTGTCGCTGTTGTTGCTGTCGTTCGTTGCTGTTGTTGTCGTTGTCGTTGTTATTGCTTGCTTTTGTTATCGTCGTCGTCGTCACCGTCGTCACAATCTCCGCTCACGTCGTCGTCGTCTTCGCCACTGCGCTGCCATCCCTGGGACGGACGCACACGCTCCGAGGGTCCACGCACGCAGAGAAGCCGGTGCCCTCCTGTGACCCTGGCTCGAGGGAAAACTAGGGCTCCCAACTTCGCGCTTCGCGCTCCGCGAAGCGCGAAGCGCGAATAACTTCGCGCCCTCGCGCCGCCCCCACAAAGGGAGAAAGGGAGGACGAGGAGGAGGGGGAGGAGAAACGAGGACCGCGAAGCGCGAAGCGCGAATAACTTCGCGCCCTCGGGGGAGCCCTTGGAAAAGAGGTGGACGGGAAGGTGAAAAGAGGATCGGCGAATGATGATCGGAGGAGGACGCTCGGAACAGGATCGGACGAGCATCTGAGGAGGGCCGGGGGAGGACGACCCGAGGAGGATGATAGGCCCCATGAAGCCCCAGGAGGACGAAGTACATCCCAGGAGGCCCCAGGACTGGAGGTCCCAGGGGTCCAAAATAAATCCCAGGAGGCCCCGCGGTGTTGACCAGGGCAACGGAAGACGCAACGACGATGGCGATGACGGCGACGGCGACGAATACGTCGGCGACGACGCCGCTGTGTCCCAAGCGCTACCGCTCCAATGCAGGACATCATGTTCCCGGACCGCTCTGGGAACATGATCGGGGGGATCTCTCTGGCGTAGTGCTGGGCCGTATCGAGGCTCTCACCATGACGTTTTGGGCCGTATCGGAGCCGTCTTGCGGGCCCCGTCCGTCTGTCCTACTGCTCCTCTCCAAACCATCGTTCCCTAACCTCCCGATCATGTTCCCGGACCCCCGTCCCTTCCCCCCAGAGCACCGCAGCAGTAAAAAAACGTTCCGAAACGGTGAGAAATCATGTTCCCGGAAAGCGTTCAAGAATATGAATCGTACGTCGTCGAAGGCGCTTCGGAAGGCGCAGAATACTCCTCCAAGGCGCGGACTCATGTTCCCGGACCACCTTCCGGGAACATGATGGGGACGACCTCCTGAGGGCCTCCAGTGGGCCTCTTGGGGGCCTCTCGGGGGCCTGTTGGGCTCTCCTGGAAGCGTCTTGGGGCGCGCTCAGGGCCATTTTTGGGCATCTTGGGGGCCTCTTGGGGGCCTCCCTCTTGGGGCCTCGCGGGGCCCTCTTGGGGCCCGCTGGGCTCGCTTAGGCAGTCTTGAAGCCCTGTCGGGGCTCTCCTGGAACCGTCTTGGGCGGCTCCTGGGCCATCTTGGGGCTCTCCTGGGCCGTCTTGGGACGATTTTGAGGATCTCTTGGGCCGTCTTGGGCGGTCTTGGGGGCCTCTTCGGCCGTCTTGGAGCGGTTTTGGGAGACTCTTGGACGGTCTTGGAGCGTCGGAACCCCGAAAAAGCGAGAAGGCCAAAAACCTAGACAAAAAACATAAAAATCAACGATTTTGGCTTGTCGGCGATCTCTTGGGAGGCCTCTTGGGATGCCTTCGGGGCCTCATGGAGCTCTCTTGGAACGTCTTCGGGCCTTCCTGACCATTCCTAAGGCTATCTATGCGCGTCTTGGAGCGCTCGCGGGCCGTCTTGAGCGGTCTCGAACTGTTCCTGGCGGTCCCAGGGGCCCTCCGGGACGCTTCGGACGCTCCCGGGGGCGCCCTGCACCCCCCATGGAGATTACTGGCAGCGCCCCGGGCCCTACCCGGGATATATATATATATATATATATATATATATATATATATATATATATAATATATATATATATATATATATATATATATATATATATATATATATATATATATATTATATTCCTTCGAATATTCTTATAGCGGAAAACCCCCCCTGACCCCCCCCCCCCCCCGTACATAAATTCGGCCCTGGGCGCTCCCACCGACGTGAAAATCGAATTTCGGCTTCGGGAGCCTCTCCCGGCTATCCCCGGACGGTCCCGCAAAGCCCGAGGACGGCCCACGACCGCTCCAGAACGGTCAAAAAGATTTCAGGTTGGCTTCAAGACGGCCCAAGAGGCTCTCAAAACGCCCCAAGAGGCCCCCAAGGAGACCCCCACAACGCAAAAGTCGTCCCATTCCCTTCGGGAAACTTACAATTTTACCATATTCGCTTCTGTGGCCTTTACTGCGTCCAAGACGGCCCAAGAGGCCCCCAAGATCGCCCCAGGACGACCCAAGATACCCCCAAGAGGACCCCAAGACAGCCCAAAAGCGCTCCAAGACGGCCCAAGAGAGCTCCAAGACAGCCCCAAAAGCCCCAAAAGGCGTCCAAGAGAGCCCCAAGAAGGCCCCAAGAGGCGCCCAAGAATGTCCCAAAATGGCCCAATCCCCCCAGGACGGCCCAAGAGGATCCCGGGACAACCCCGGAGAGCCGCCAGACAGCCCAACAGAGTCCCAAAAGGAGCCCCACGAAGGCCCCGACATGCCATATTATTCGATTTCCGCTAACATGCTCCGCACTGTTTCTGTCTCCAACGCAGCCACCCCGGGGGACCTCGGGACAACCCCGGAGAGCCGCCAGACAGCCCAAAAGAGCCCCATAAGGAGCCCCACGAAGGCCCCGACATGCCATATTCATTGCTTCCCGCTACCCTGTTCCGCATGATTTTGTTCTTCCAACGCCGCCACCCAGGGGGACATCTACGTCGCCGATGTTTTGGCTTCGGTCCAGGAGCCGACACTTTCTCCGATCGCACGCTGCCCCGTACATAGGCTCCTGCCCTCTGCCCCCTCAGAGCCCTTCCAGCTTGAAGACTCTGTGAACCATATAAGCCCCAAGAGCCATATGAGCTCAATGAGCTATACGGCCCCTCGTCCTCGTCTTCATTGTCGCCGTCGTCGTCTGTCGTCCCCCATGAGACCTACAGGCCTATCAACCCCTTCAGCCTTACGAGCCCTACGAGCCCTATGACACTCAAGACCCCATATGAGCCCCAACATCCCTATGACCCCCGGGACCCCTGCGACCTCTATTTTCCCTACGAGCCCTACGAGGCCTGCAGTGCCCTATGTGTTCTGCGAGCCCTATGAGTCCTGCGAGCCCTAATGCCTACAAGCCTCGTGAACCCTACCAGCCCTACGACCTCAATTACCCTATGACCCCTACCAGCCATATGAGCCCAGTCGACCTTATGAGCCCTACGACCCCTGTGGCGCCTCATGCCCCTGCGACCCCCATCCGCCCTATGAGATCTACGAGCCCCGCGGTGCCCTATATCCCCTCCGAGCTCCATGAGCCCTCCATTGCCCTGTACGCCCTACGAGCCCTACGACCCCAATTACCCCTACAGCCCCTACAACAACCATATGAGCCCTCTCAGCCCTGAGAACCCGAACACCTACAAGCCCCACGAACCCCGTCAACCCCACGAGCCCTACGACACCACTGACTCCAATCAGCCCTACGAGCCATACGAGCCCTAAGACGCTTGCGAGCCCTATGAGCCCCACGAGCCCCACGAGCCCTAATAGACCCGCGAGCCCGGGGCGCCGTATGAACCCGACAAGCCCTACGACTTCCACGAGCCCTACGCGCCCTATGAGCCCTACGGGCCCTCCAGTCCCACGAGCCCTCTGAGCCCCATGAGCCCCGCAAGCCCTGTGAGCCCCATGAGCCCTACGAGCCCTGTGAGCCCGACGAGCCCTACGGTGCCCCATGGTGCCGCATGAACCCTTTCAGCCCTACGAGCCCCATGAGCCCTACGACCCCTACCACCCCTACGAGCGTGTTGGCCCCGTGAGCCCTATGAGCCTGCGGTGCCTCACGGTGCCACTTCAGCCCTACGGAGAAGGACAAGAAGGCTCCCACGGAGAAGGACAAGAAGGAAAGAGGTGCAAAGAGGGAGGCGGAAAGAGACAGGAAAGGCAAGACAGGAGACACTACCCTCATATCCAGACCCGACGGTACAGTACTTCACGAGTCTACCTCTTCAGACAGTTTTCGGACCACCCGTCCCAAGCTCGTCTGGCATCGGAGACCGGTTCTGAGCCGCTGTTCGTCGTCCACGGCAGCAGAAGCCAACTAACAACAGTCGTTCATTCCCGGCTCTCCCTCCCTCTTCCTTTTCCCACCTCCCCTGTCTTCTGTATCCCTTCCTGCCTCTCTCGCTCCTTCTCTCCACTCAACCTTCCTGCAACCTCTGTCCGTTTCCATTTTGGCTTCAGGCGCCTTCGGCTTCCGCTTGAAACCGCTTCGGCTCTCCCCGCCATGGCAAAGCGGCAACATCGATCCACCGGACCTCCTCCAGATGTGTCATTCGACGACTCGGTTTTTACAGCGTCATGGGCTGGGCTGTCCCGCCTTATGCGGCACACAAGCCTACAAGCCGACGAGCCGTACGGGCCTACGGGCCCTACGAGCCCTACGGACCTACGGGCTCTACGAGCTCTACAGGCCCACGAACTCACGAGCCCTACGGGCCCACGGGCCCTGCGAGCCCTACGAGCCCCACAAGCCCTACGAGCGTGCAAGCCCCACGAGCCCTACGAGCCCTACGGGCCTACGAGCCCAGAGAGCCCACGAGCCCTGGGCGCCCTACAAACCCATCATCCCAGTGAGCGCTGCGAGCCCGACGAGTCATCCGAGCTCAAAGGCCGCGCGAACCGCGCGACCCCCGCGAGGCCGAAGAGCCCCACGAGGTCACGAGCCCTACGAGCCCTACGCTCCCCATGCGACCCAGGAGCCCATGACCCCTACACGCCCCTCAGGCGTCCGACCCCTATTCCCCAACCAACCCAGCGAGTCGCACAAGCCCATTGACCCCTGGAGCCCCGTAGGCCCCACGCGCACGGCGAAACCAGTGAGCCCCATGACCCCTCTCAACCACACAAACTACGCGCACCGTGAGCCCTGTGTGCCCACGAACGCTTGCGCCCCACCCACGCCCCACGAGTCGATCGCGAGCCCTCCGACCTCATGGGCCCTGTGAGCCCCATGAGCCCTACGAGCCCACGGGCCCCACGAGCTCACGCTCCATGAGCCCCATGACGTCCGTGAGCCGCGGCCACCGAGCAACCACTATGACCCTTCAAGCCCCGCGAGCCCCACGAGCCCCCATGAGGCCCACGACACATAGCAGGCCAAACAAGCCCCACAGTTGGTCGCAGCGAGCTTTCCAGGCGCCATGCGACCAAGACTTTAAAGGCGAAGCGAAGCGAGCCGGTAAAATCTTGTGTATGTATACATACATACATACATACATACATTCATACATACATACATACATCCATCCATCCATCCATCCATCCATACATACATACATACATACATACATACATACATACATGCATACACCCAAACTTGCATACATGCATACATACCTACTGGCAGGCCTACCTACCTGCCTACCTACGTACGTACGTGCAAACACACACACACGCACATCTATATATACATACATACAGACATACGTACATACATACATAAATACAGACATACAGACAGACAGACATACATACATACATCGCAGTGGATTGCATTGCGTTGCAGTGCATTGCACTGCACTGCACTGCACTGCATTGCATTGAACTACACCATTGTACACTACATATTAATACATGGCATGTACATTGCACTACCATACATTACATTGCAATAAGTTACAACATAGAACACTGCTTTCCATTCCACTAAATGTACGTTACGCCACATACATGCATACATACAAACATATACATACACACTCATGCGTACAAACATACACACATACATGCACACATTCATCTGTTCATGCATACATACACACCTACATACATACATACATACATACATACATACAAACAGACAGACAGACAGACATACATACATACACGCATACATACATACATGCATACATACATGCATGCATGCATGCATGCATGCATACATACACACACGTACATATATGCATACAGACATACATACATACAGACATACAGACATACGTACGTGCGCACACGCATGCATACATACGTACATACACACATACATACGTAGTTACCTGCATAGCTAAACACCTGCATACATATGTACACGAATACATAAATACGTTCATGCATACACACAGACACATGCATGCATACATACATACAGACAGAAAGACACACGTACATAAATACATACATACATACACGCATGCATATATACATACATTGCGTTGCAGGGCATTGAGTTGGCTTGCATTGCACTGCATGGCATTGCAGTGCATTGCGTTGCATTGCAATAAATTACATTACACTACACTATACTATGGTATACGACATGCACATTGCATGATATACAGACAGTACCATGCATTACAGTACAAAACGTTACAGGTCATTACTTAGCATGCACGTTATGCTACATACATGCATACATACACACAGGCATGACCACGTGCAAACATTCAAGCATACATGCATGCCTACATACATGCATACATGCATACACCTGTGCATACATAAATGCATGCATACGTATACAAATACCTACACACATACATACGTGCATACAAACATACATCCAGGCATACATACGCACATGCAGACAAGCATGCATACATAAATGTATAAATGCATGCATAACTACCTACATAGCTAAATAACTGCATACAAATACACACAAGTGCATACATGCATGCATGCATGCATGCATGCATGCATGCATGCATGCATACATACACACACATACATACATACACACATACACAAACACATACATGCATACACATGTGCATATGTGCATACAGACATACAGACACACAGACACACGTCGAGTCATACATACATACATACAGACATACATACACGCATAGATGCGTACATACATATACATACGTATAGAACTACGCAGCAATAATTTGCCTACTTTGCCGATTTAACGGGAGGCCAACTGCGCGCACGGTTGAACCCATCGTGTATCCAGGGCCTCATGCAGCAAAAGTCCCCCATATCAGAACATTAGGACTTAGCCGTGAGACCAAGCCGAGGACCGCAGCAAGCACGCCCATAATGTGTCCAGGGCCGCTCACGCCTCGGTGCGCACATGCCTGCTTCGCGGGGCACTGCAACTGTCCCAGCCAGAATAAGCAATAAAAACTCCTCGGAAGGACCAGCTGATATAGATCTCCGTTGCTGCAACGAGTTCCTGAAGGACAAGGCGGAGGGAAATTGGACATACAAAGCAAAGTGAGCAACAGAAGGAGGTTGATGAGCTCAAGCAGTGAAACGACAGAACCATTCGATGCGGACCCATCGACTGACAGAGAAAATATGTTTCTACCCCTGCTTTGTCCCTGTTCGCGTTTCGTCGCTCCACAAGAGGTTTGTCTGAGCTTCGGCCTCGCGGGCCGTTAGCGGGAGGGTCGAATCCCTTTGAACGCACTGCCTCGTCGATGCCTCTCGCCAGCGCCTGCCAACCCTAGCAGACCCGATTCTCCTGGGACCGAGGTGGGCCCCTATAGGCCCACGGAACCCGCGGCGGACGCCCAGGACCAGGAAACGCCGCCAGCGGCTCAGAGGAATTCAGGGGGACGCGTAGGCAACATAGAAGTTCAGCGCACGTGCCAAATAAAAAGTTCAGCGCAATTGCGCGATATACGAAGATGTAGGGCTAGGGATAGGGATTGGCATCGGGATGGGCATGGGGATCGGGATCTAGGATGAGGATATGGATAAAAGGAGATAGGGATAGGCATAGAGGAACTTGCCGCCCCCTTCGTGCACCGGGGCAGGCTCCAAAAAAGTTGCTCGAATACGTAGTCTCGAGGCGCCTTGAAGAGGGCATGCAGAAGACAGTTCGTCGCGCGTCGGCTTATTCGCACGCGCTGGCGCTCTGTGCCTCCACTGAGTGGTATAAACAAAGTGGGACGGAATGCACAATGGGGAGAAGAGCGCCCCGTCTCTCGAACAAGATCACTGCATGCAGCAACACTGGGCGCCCTTTTTCTCCTGCTGACCTTCTGCACCTTCTCGCTTTGTGCAGGCCGGTTCCTTCTCCCAGACGAGCTGACAATCGATGGCAGCACCTGGGTAGCCCGTGTTAGTGCACTGCGGTCCGAGAGCGGCGCCTTTGATGAGCTCGTTCGCCTTCAGCGACTTGTGCACGCCCTCTATGGGCTCGCCAACAAGACTTGTCTCGGCGATATCACAGGTGTAGCCCTCGTTGGGCTTGACGTGGCACTTCGTCTTCTCCAGGAACCACTCGTTCAGTGCCTCGTCGCCGTACTTCAGGTCGTTCTCCTTGCGGTACTTGTCCGACATAGCACCATCGACGCCAACAAGTGGCTCAATGCAAGACCATACAGCTTCGGCCATCTTCTGCGTGAGCTCTGGAGCTTCTTTACCTGCCGCGACCCATCCCCAAGCAGCTAAGCAGGAGCCTGGTCCCATCACCGACAAGATGTTCATCAGCGTGACCCCAACGATCATCAGTGCTGTTCGGGCGAACGTAAGGCCAACCATCTTGACGCGTAACCTTCTCCAGGCTATTTGGAGCAGCTGCGCAAAAGCTGCGTGCGCTAAAAGCGTGATGCGTCTTGAGATAAACTGGCTACGAACTACATTGTAGAATTTTGAGGCCTCAGGACATGTACAGGCGAGAAGGCAACAAAACACGAACACAATCTAAAGTGTTCCATGATTTGTGCCTCCCCGAGGCATCCTTGGGAGGCCCCGTCGACACCTTGAGCCATCTTGAGGACGTCTTGGAGCCATGCTGGAGGCAAGATTGGGTCCACTCTTGGACAACCTCGCGGAAAAGTGGAGGCCGTCTTGGGCTACCTGGGGCCATATGCGATGCGATCTGAGACGCACTAATCCCACGCCCCGCCTCCTGTCCAGACCACCCACATCCCAAGGAAGAAGAGAAATAAATCCTCTCCCCGAAAGCGACAAAACGTATTTTCCGCAAGGCCTCAGACTCCAAACCACCCATGGTACGCCTAGAAGGCTAACGTCATTCCTCGAACAACGTTAACGAAAACATTGCTCCTCTGTGCCAAGAACTTCCTCGGTTCAACCCTGTTGCCCTACTGTTCCCAACTCGATCCTGTAGCCTGGCTGCACAGAACTTCAAACGTCCGGCCGCGTTCCCGACTCCCGACTGCTCCCCCTGGGTCATGCGCACTGGTCTCTGTCGGTCCTGTCCAACGTAGTCATCATCAGCATGGCCGTCTGCTGTCTTACTGTGCGGGGCCCACGCGCAGGTCTCGCGTGAACAACCAGCCAGGGCTCATAAGTGAAGGATACGACATCGCACATTCGGACGGAGATGTGCGAGAAATTGCGTGACTTTTCGGGCCCCAGGGGCCCTAAAGGGCCCCTTTTACGGGCCCTAAAGAGCTCCTTTTCTGCAGCCCTCGCTGCCTCCCCACGTACCCCCCCTCCCATTACACGACGCCCAAGACAAACTGCGCGACAAGTGCGTATGCACTCTGAGCCTGCCAATACGCGGTGGGTGGGGGGGGGGCGCTAGCCCCGCGGACAGCCCGAAATCGCCTCCCCTCGCGCTCACAAGCCTCGCTCTGCCGAGGGAGGACCACCCCCACGCTTCGCCGACAGGGCGTGCCCGAACACCGCCGCGAAGACGAAGCCAGGACGAGGATAACATCGGGCGAGGGTAAACCAAAAATCTCTGGGACCCGGCGGCTGCGGAGGACGTCTCGGGCGCCGCGGCCTTCTCGGAGCGTTCCGGCACCCTCTGGAACCTGTGTACCCTCGTCCGAGCCCAGGCCGAGCCGCGCCGCGCACGGGGCCCAGGAAGACGGACCCGCGGCGTGGCACAGGCGAGATCACCCTCGGCATGGGGAGGCCAGCCGAGGCGCCAACGGCCGGCAGAAGCTGAGGCGCCCACGGTCGACAGAAGCATCTGGCGGTGGAGGTACGTCAGGTCCGCGGGCCCCAGCGCGGGGGGGCGTCAGGCCACGCGGGCTCGAGAGTTCCTCGGGCACCACGCTGGGGAAAGCGGGCCCTGGGGAGAAGCCAGCACGCAGACCTCTCCACCAGCGAGCGACCGAGGGTACGGTGAAGACGCTGAAGTGAGGAGGTGCTGGCGTTCGGAGAGGGCCATGGTTTTCGGGCTCGCGCGCGGTTCCGATCGGCTCGGCTCGGTGCGATCTGGCCCCGTGCGGAGCCCACGCGTGCCGCGCCGCAGCATTGCGTGCCAGTGGCGGCGGCAGAGCACGACCGGGGAGCGTCGGCGTGGAGGAGCAGGCACGAGTGTTCGCACCTGAGCGACGAGAAGAAATCTTACGCGAGACGGCACAGCGACCTTACGCGGTGGCTTTCGCGGGCCGCCCGCGCGGCACGCCACATTTGAAGCGAGGGCGCTTACACGCGACCTTACGGGGGTAGCTTACGCGCCAATGTCGGCGCAAAGACCCTGGTTTCTGGCGTCGCTCACCTGCTGCGCAACGACGCGCGGTAACTGCCTCAAAGTCCAACAAGGAAGGGCACTCACCCGTGCAACCGTGCGGTTCACCCCCACCAGCATGATCGCTTCCGTTCAGATCTCCTGCGCGCCCCACCCCGATCCTACACATCGTGTCCCCCCCCCTCTGCTGCATAACCGCTTCATTCTCCCTTGTCCCTCCTCCCCCCTAGCTTCACCCTTACATGTCTCTCGCTCCAGCCAGCTTTACCTCTCGCGCCTGCCCCATCGCATCCGTATGACCAGTACGATGGCAGGAGCCCCTCATATAGCCGCGCGCGGTCTTGGGCTTATGCCTGTTCCTGAGCGAGGTGTGGTCGGCCACCCACATGGTCATGACGTGGACGTCGCCACCGTACATTTCCTTGTCTTGCCTGGTCCATCCCACCCCCAATTACCCCCAACCTTCTGCTGACGTTGACAAACACAACGGGAAGCCAGGCTGCACTGTCGACGAGCAGTTGACACCGACCAGCAGTTGCAGGCAAGAGACCCAATCTAAAAACCATGAGATCAGGTAGAACAAGTGAGGCTTCTTCCCGCTGCTGCGTGGGGACTATTGGCACCGATTCCATCTCTTTTACCTAACCTGGAGGCCTTTGACCCATGAAGAAGTCTTGGGATGCGCCGAATCTCGAATGTGTCTCAGCACTCACCGGTTGGTTCGCCTCCCATCTCAGAAATCATTGCCAATTCCTCTTCTCTGGAAATATTACGACTTAATCTTCAGAATGGGGTCCTGTGTAGCTGCGATGATGGCACTACACTGCGTTCCAACGACACCCGAAGCGAAGGATCACTACCACAACACCACCTTTCATCGACGACACCACGACACCTAAAGTCAACCGAGACCAACCCAACTCTTGTTCCATGCGAGGCGACTCATGATATGAACGCTCCATACAGTCGGACCTAGGCCACAAGAACATCCTTCAAGGTCATGGGACCCTCCGCCGGCCAAAATAGACAGAACATCCAAGGGTACCCTCACCCAGGATGCACAAAAACATCCAACCAACACGAAACGCACTAGGGTACCCTCTCCGAACCGACCTCGATCTTAGACCTCGGTCCGACTGTACACAAGACCAAGTTGTCAAGTTTTGCGAGATACGCAGAACTGTGACAGATCGAGCACCTGCTCAACTCAGGTCGCACAAAGGGACAGCGACGCGACAAGCACCGCAGAGAACATTTAGAGCGGGGTGACAGAAGCGGAGGCCGAAGAGGGGCGAGGAGGACTCAGAGGAATTGGGAAGCGAGGGGGGCCAATCCGCCGACCCTTCGGCGTGTGGAGGAGGCTGTCGTCGTCGTCGTCGTCGTCGTCGTCGTCGTCGTCGTCGTCCTCGTCGTCGTCGTCGTCGTCGTCGTCGTCGTCGTCGTCATCGGTCCCAAGAGAGTTGAGGAACGAGGAAAATAAGCGTTGTAAGTAAGTCGAAAAGGACGCCCCTTTCCCTTCATCCCTTCCCTTCCGGGAGGGGGGGGGGGGGAGGCGGGGGGAGAGGGGGACGAGGGGGGGGACGGAGGGGTCCCAGACCATAATGCAGCGCTCCCCCTCGGCAGGTCCCGGGGGGGGTCGCCAGGGGGGATCCCACGGGAGGGCCCGCCTTCAGGGTCGGCGGTGCTGACCGCAAGGCCTTCGCAATACTGGTGAGAGCAACATAACAGCGCAATGCGCTTCATCTACCTGGCTCAACCCTGCTGCTGCGGGCGGCACGCAGCTGAGGAGGGGGGGGCCGGAATCAGCCACCAAGGACAGCAATACGAGCCACGTGTTCCAGCGCTCTGCGTTCTGTGATGCCACGGCGCCACGCGCTAAATCCGCCGACCCTGTCGACGTGTGTGAGAAGCTTTTCCGTTTGTGTCGTCGTCTTCGTCGCCGCCCCCCCTCACGCGTTCCAGCTAATGGGAAATCGACGTCAACAACGTCGCGTCTGCACGAGACATCGGCTGAATAAGTGCTGCCAGCTAGAGGCGCATGTCCAAACCAGGGCACAAAACGCAGAACAGTTGTGGGGAACCGAGCAACGTCGTAATCGAGTCAAAGGGATGCCCCTTCCCTTTGATCCCTCCCCCCGGGGGGGCCCTCCTGGGAAGGTCCCGGGTGAGCACCCCTCCTTGGGAGAAGCATTCGGCTGCAGAGCGTCGTCGTCGTCGTTGTCGTCGTCGTCGTCGTCGTCGCCGTCCCCCCTTCAGGGTCGGCGGTACCGGCCGTGAGGCCTTTGCAATATCAGTCCCCCCCAAGGAGCCGCGAGGTCTCGCAAGGCTGCGGGACCAATCCGCGCGCACGCCAGCCACCACAGACAGCCGCCGCCCCCCCTCTCCTCTCCCCTACCTTGGTGTCGTGTCCGCCGTTCGGTCGTCCACTGTGTCATCTCTTCGTGGATATTTCGCCCCTTCCCCTGGCGCTCCCGGCTGGGCGGGGTTCGAGGGCCACAGCACTCCAGACAGACAAGTGACGATCCGCAGCTCTAAGCTCGAAGCAGGAGGAGGAGGAGGAGGAGGAGGAGGAGGAGGAGGAGGAGGAGGAGGAGGAGGAGAGGAGGATGAGGACGGAGTGGAGACCACAATGATCTACTCAGAACGAGAAACCAACACAACAATGTTGGAACAAAGACTCCATAACAACGACTTGAATGACTTGAACGCAATGCAGCTGTCACCTGGAGAGGTGACTTGCCAGGTCGGGAATCCGGGTGAGACCGAGGCGGAACGGAGTGTCCCCCACCAGGAAATCGGTCTCGGCCTAGGATCGAGATGCTCGCGTACGCTTCGGTGGCAACTCATGGGAGCCTCCCGCACCATCTTGTCGGCTCTTCAGAATCGTTTCAAATCGACGCTAGTCGACGCTAAATCGACGCTCATCGACGCCAAATCGGCGATCCCGCATCGATTACTTGACACTAAATCGACGCTAGTCGACTCGAGAGACTAAATCGGCACAAGGCTCCCATGATTTGCCACCGAAATACGCCGAGGCCTACTGGAGCCTCGGGCAAACTGCACACGTGCGGAGCTACCGAAGCCCCTCCGCTCCGCCCCGCCCGAGTCGGACGAGAGGAGCGGGCAGCCAAGCGAGGGACAGCGGATCAGCTGCACGCGGCTGGCTTCCCAGGGCGCCACCCGGCGCCAGATGCGCCCGTGTGTCGAGGCATGAGCCCGACGGCGGGGCCTAAACCAGGTGCACGAGGCAATTTCCTTGCTGCCACCCCCGCCCCTCCCTCGGGCACACGCCGACGTCGTTTGCCGACATGCCCC